TGATCTAACTTCTGTGTCCACCGCCGGGGAATCCGAAGCCTGTATTTTAGAGTTGTGAGTCCGTAAACTTGCCGCTATCCTACCGGCAGATCCAATATTTTAGGTGTTTTAGAGCATAATCACATTGATCTAACTTCTGTGTCCACCGCGGGGAATCGAAGCATGGATTTTAGAATTGTGAGTCTGTAAACTTGCCGCTATCCTACCGGCAGATCCAGTATTTTAGGTGTTTTAGAGCATAATCACATTGATCTAACTTCTGTGTCCACCGCGGGGAATCGAAGCCTGTATTTTAGAGTTGTGAGTCCGTAAACTTGCCACTATCCTACCGGCAGATCCAGTATTTTAGGTGTTTTAGAGCATAATCACATTGATCTAACTTCTGTGTCAAACCGCGGGGAATCGAAGCCTGGATTTTAGAGTTGTGAGTCCGTAAATTTGCCGCTATCCCACCGGCAGATCCAGTATTTTAGGAAAAACCAACTTTCGTGTGAATACTTCAGATAACTGGACTACTGAAAAAAAGATGGGGTTGAAAACTCCTTTAAAAGAGAAATTATTATGGATTGTTATGTTGCTGGTATATAATTACGACTCGTGTATTATGATATTTAAAAAAATAATTAGAAACATTATATAATGAAAACATTATTAAACTTGTAATGAATATAAGCATGTTTTAGGTAACTTAACCTAGCTGTTTTGACCCCAAGAAGAAAATAGGTTCGTCTGTCGAGAGCACTTTTTTTTTAATATGATTTGTCTGAAAGGTGATCCACATGATACTTAAATAAATTAATAATAATTACGATTCACTTATTTATTCTGGTTCATACCATAACAGTATTTGTTCATGGAAATGAAGGCGTGAATTGTGCCTAGACACAACTATATCTGTCGTATTCGAGCTGGCTGATGAGCGCTGGCATTGAGCGAGAGGCCTCGTCGGCACTGGATATGGCAAATGTAAAGTTGTTTACATACTGTAAAACATTCTTCTAAGCTCTTACTAATAAGTTCTTAGAATTCTTGGAAGTAGAGTAAATCAGTTTTTAAAAGTTTCATAACATATATACTGGAGAAAATGAGGTGGATTACTATCTTTCGACATATGTGCTGTATTAAAAACATCTAAGTATTTACTCTTTGATCTACAATAAACATGAAAAAATGTTTCACATATTTTATGTCTTCTCTCAGCTTTACGCGAACACTCTTTAGATATATTTTACTTTTAGTCAAGGTTGTCTAAGAGTGGAAATATTAGACATTTGTTTTCATATCTTTCTTTTGATTATTAGATCGTTAAACTTGTCCAATTTTAGAGTACTCTAACAATCTCTACAATAAAGTTATATATCCTGCTCTGTCTGTGTGTTTTGAGAATCCCACAAGAGTTTTCATATTGATTTAACCCAAACACCCGAACATGACCTATTAGGCAAATATAATTTCTTTGGAATTGTCACTTAAAGAAAATTATACTTGACAGCTGTTCCAGGAGGTTGTTATATCACAGGGTGTATATGCTAGTGCTTATAGTCATTTAAAGAAAACTGTATGTATCTGTTCTTGACGGCAGTCTCAGAAGGCTAATAAGGGATTAATTGAAACCTGACGATTTTTACAATAATTTGTAATTCTTGATTAAAAAACAGTATATGAAATCATTGATCTCAATAAGAATTCCACCTACGAAAGGGAAGACGTTCGATAAGTAACATTGTTGTTTGGTCTTAACTAGGTTGTTTGGTACGACTGGTGTTTGTTCAGCTTGCAGTAAAACTATCCCGGCCTTTGAGATGGTGATGAGAGCCAGAGGAAACGTGTATCATTTGGAATGTTTCGCATGTCAGCAGTGCCGTCACAGGTAAGTTCAGAATAATGAGTTTTAAAGATATGTTTTGTCTTCCAGGAACACAATTATCCACAAATGAATAATCAGTTTTTAATTAAAATAAACACGAATAAATATATGTTCCTTTGTCTTTGTACAATTTAGTTTGGCACTATAGTACACCCAAATTACGCAAGTTGAATATGATACAGCGAAGTTATGGGAAACCTGGTTAAAACTGGTGGTTCGTAATAATGGCGCTGATGCGATAGGGTTCTCGCGTAACGTGCGAAGGTTCCCATGGCCAAACTTGCTCGTGAGAAATGCAACAACTGGATTATCACTCTAATAAAAATTGCATCAGCAATAATGCAAAGTGGGGAAGTTTTTTCTATGTCGTAAATATCATAAACATACAATTTTGTTGTATGCTTTTATTTTATTGGAAAAAAAACGGGAAAATGTCTTCCCCCTGCATTACTGCATTCCTCCCAAAAAAGAAAGCAAAATAGTATAACAAAATTGTATGTTTATGATTTTTATTGAATAATTTGTTTTCTCATTATTAATGTTACCATATTTTTTCTCAGTTTACATTTTTTTTACTGGTGCCGTTTTATCAGTACCATTATTACTGGCGCCGTTTGTGTCTCACTTTGCATCACCAATGGAGACATTATTATCGAAAACTCTAACGCAGTAAGAATTAAACATATAGTATTGTAAATGATATGCTATCACGAAACTTTTCTTTTTATGTTTTATTCCCAAATAATCTATTCTACGCTGCATTTCATTTTAACACCACACCTAACCTTCTCATCGTGTTATGTCTTCTTAGGTTCTGTGTTGGAGATAGATTCTATTTGTACAACAACCGAGTACTGTGTGAATATGATTACGAAGAACGTGTTTTATTCGCCAATCTACCCTATACAGGAGACAGTCTTACGCAGCTGAAGAAACAGACAGAAAACCTGACCTCCGGCAATAAAGATGATGCTTCGAGTGGCTATGGTAGTCCGGACTCATTAGTTAGTGAAGGCAAATAAAGTATTAACGGGGTCTGGTGGTTACAAACTGTGATCCTTAAGTGACTGGATAGCAACTATGATAATGTGGTTCTGGGTTATTTTCTGGAGCCAACCTGAGCACATTGACTGGTTAAATGAGAATTATCAATACTTATGAAATCAACTTTCAGGTTTGTACGTGACCTGCATAACAATATTATTTTCTGTGATCATAAGATGTGTAGTTGAAAACTTTAATATAACCGTGACCGATATATCATCAGTTGTACACTCACAAGTCTTGTATATGGTTTAGTGGCCGCATCACCCTTTCAAGTATTATGAATGAGAGCGCGGAAAGAAATTAGTGCTATAGGAAAAAAAAAACTTCTTTAATGTATATACCACAGTGATTAGAAATTAGTTGTGAAACGTTTTCCTGAATGTTTTAAAAAATCTTCTGACTTTATTTCTGGTTAACTGGATCCTGCCACTAGGGGGCTGGAATGAAGTGTAGGTAAGAATATTGTTACGTTTTACTACTGAGCAAATAACGTGATTACCACGAAGTTTAGTGTTTTAACCAGTTCATTATTTGTGTTTATTTGTGCAGTTGAAATCCAGATTTAGCTGTGAAGTGTGCTAATATTGCTTCAATATACTTCTAGAAAGATTGTTGTTAAACAGGCATGGAACTGAAGTGAAGGCAGCTGCGTAGCATTTCGAAAGATTAATATTTCTTTTAGGCCATCGCAAGGAAAACCTATTCTTCATTCCAAGGTTCTACAGCTGCTCCAACTCACAAGACAGATTGCCTGCTAACTAAACCATGCTGCATTATTATTAACTCGAATCTACTAAAGAATCAAATTCGGCAGAAGCATTACTAATTAAACACCAGAGAGTTTCTACGCTTGTCAATTTATAAATAGCAATGAAATATGTACCGCGTCTGTTTTGTTACGTTCAATTCAAACGTTCGAAACAAAACAGTGATAACATTTATAGCCAAACAGTAAATACCAGTTACGTTACTTCTTGGGAGCTTACTGACATATTTATTTTCGTTGGTTTTTCATTGCACAGTATTGTAATGAGATACATTAATTTGGAAATCGTCAATATATATTTTTACCAGAAGTTCTAATTAATCATTATAACTAACTAGCTCCTTGATTCAACGTTATTATAATATCTCAAAACTCGCTTTTAGTCTTCAGACTTATTTTAATTTCAAAACGGTTTTCCACCTAAAAGCTAAATAAATACTGATTAGAAAATTTTCGTGTCATGGACAATATTTCTGTTCGTTAGCGTGCTCTTTCATCGGCCATCTTTAATGTACAATTTACATTATTATTATAAACAAAAGAACGCTTTTCATGAATACTTTCATTTCTTAATTAGAAGAAATTATTTACTCTAATAGTTTCTTTAAAACATTTGAATCCAAAGATTATAACGGTTTCATGACTTAGAAGCCTTTTCAGCAGTCTCTAAAGCTTCACAACTTTACCCAAATTATGAAAAATGAGCTTTAAAGATTGCTGAAGAGTGAATTAGAAGTTTCAACTTCTGCAATAGAAGGTCACTGAATAGCAACTTATAAGCTCCACAACTTCACCCAACTTATGAAAAAATGAGCTTTAAAGATTGCTGAAGAGTGACTTTATAAGTCACTAAACCAATAAAAAACCTGTGGATTTAAATATTTAAAGAAACGATTGGAATATACTTTTACTCTCTGAACGTAAGTGTGTTATTACATACATATATATATATATATATATATATAAGCGGTGATAATGACGATATTTGTTTCTATATATTTCGTGGTGCACAAAAACTTGATATCGATTTCACAAAAAGTAGTCTGAGAATATTTCTACATTAGCGGGCATTTCTCATCAAAACGAAACGGAAACCCATTGATAGTAGTTATATTCTTAAAGAATTCATATTGGGAATAGCGCGCCTCGAACATTTTCAAGGCTCTTTATATTTTAACAGCCTAGCGTTCTGTAAAGCATAAACCGTGTTGTTGGTTTTAAAAATTACTTTGTATTTGTAGTAAGATATACCTAAAGACATACGTTCGTGGTATTGAACATAGAATCCATTCGTGAGTCACTTGTTCGTACAGACACTTAATCAGTGGTTCAGCAGTAAGTCTGAAGGTTTACAGCGTTAAAAACCGGGTTTCGATATTCGTGGTGAGCGAGTCCAGTGTGTTGCTTTGTACTTAATAACAAACAAAAGTGATTGGAATTCGAAACAGTGTTGATGGTATTTTTGTTTTAAAATACTTTCATATACCCATAAACAGTTTGGTGCATACATAGTTTAGAAGAATGTGCTTATAAAGCCGATGGGGTTCATATATATATATATCGATAGTTCTACGGTCAATTGTGAAAACTATATTTAGATAAGTTCCTACGCTATTGGCTGCAAGTAATGATGTATCATTTTACTTTTAGTGTATGTTTAAAGGTTAATATTAGCCTTTTTAAATATTTTTTGGGTTAGATATGTAATTATTATCATTTATATTTACATTATTAGTTTCCAATCATTTAAGTAAAGTCAAATATGTATTATTTACTATAAATTATTTCTCTTCTATAAAACACGTTAAATGCTGTTTTTTTAAACATATTTTAATGTTAGCCTTATCTTTGTTCCAGATCACTTATGGAAAAATGGAATACGATCAACCAGTATTCGTTAAGCCCACCAGATGTCGCTTTAAAAGGTTAAATTTGCTGTACATTTGATTAAAACGTTATATTGTAGAGTGTAAAATGAGGAATGATAAAACTAAAATGTTTCGTTTTGTATATATATAGTTTGTATATATATATATATATATATATATGAGAAATATATATGTAAATTATTTTGCTGTTTAGAGATTTGTTGTAACGCACTCGGAACTGCTTTTGTGTACTTGTTCAATAAATGTTATGATTTTATGTGGTAATACATAGTTAAGAGTTTTAACTACCACGCGTCAGCTACTACTATTATTATTATAACAAAAATGAATCAAAATGTTTACTCCCACGCATTAACTTATCTCTGCTATAACTATAACACTAAATCTAATCAAAATTGTCGGAATTTGTAATTATTTAATTGTTTTTATCGGTGAATATGGACGGACCTTTAAAAGAAAACATTGAAAAAAATATATATTATCCACGTGTTTCTCTTCTCTTGGTGAAATTGTACGATTTAATAATTAATAAGCTTGATAACAAGCCAACAAAGCCTTTAGCTAAAAAATTGAGATACAAGAATGTAATCTAGTTTGTGTACATTATAAAGAAAATTGGCGCTAATTTGTTTTTGTGTTGCCATAAAATATAGCCTGCCGCCATTCAGAGTTACCATCTTATATTAGGTCGTCAAGAAATTAATGTCGCGTTTTGGAACACTTTCATTAACCACCCCCCAAAAACGTACATCACGTATAATAGTTCAACGGACCGCCTAAACGTCACTTTAGTGTAGCCTATATAAAATGTAAAGTTTAATATACTCTAATCCCTTATAGTGATGGTACACGAAGAAACACACATTCGCCATGTAATGCTGTTTGAACTCAAGAAGGGAAACAACGCCTCCGTAACCACAAAGATTATCAAAGAAGTTTATGTAAATATTTTGAATATTCGTAAGTGTCA